TCACAAAGTCCAAATTTCTGGAGTCACGGAGGCTGGATAACCCCCTGAAACTGTTACCTTGAGCCCTTAACTATTTCCCTTAAACCAAAAGTATCACCTGAGGTCTTATTTTAACCAAACAATAGTTCAGTTTATCAATAAAGAAGGTCTGCCTTTAAGGAGAATGGTTGCACCACCTGAAAAATGTAATTGATGCCATTGTAGTGGATTTGTTGTTTTCAACAACCATAGCAATAAAAATAAATTACTTGAAAAAGAAAGGTAACAAAAAAATTTAAAAATTAAAAAAAAAAGGAAAAGAAAGGTAATATTTATGCAACCTGGAGAGAAAGCAGATTATATCACAAAAATCCACTCGTTTCCACACAGAATTGCTTTAAGTGGGTAAACTTTTCACTTGTAAACTTTTAGGGGTATAGATGAAATCATCAATTGCATGCCAACACAATTTATTTATACATGTAAGATGGTGCAGTGATTAAATGGTTTATTGCTAATGGAAAGATTGATGCTTTGAATTCACCCAGTGGCATTGCTGAATAACCTGCAATTTGCTTTTGTAACGATTACAACCGAGAAAGCGCGGAGGCAGTTCTCTGTTCCAGGGCGTCGCTGGGTCAGAGGTGGCTGGAGCACCACCAACAACCACAAATACTCACTACAAGCACTGCTCTTCTCTTCCCTCTCACATGTCTTCCAACAGTTTCACTCGAGCGCTTCACACATACCCCCGGCTTCAGTGTCTGTGCTTTCCCTGAAGCCACGTTTTAAGTCATTTCTCACTTTCCACAAGGTACCATTTCACTTTTGACTAATCTATTTGAGACACAATGTTTTCTGAGTATGCGTATGATGCTGTCCCAGGAAAATTAAACCCACGCCATGGGTATGTTTAAATAATGTAAGAACAGATTTTTATTTTTCCTTTAGGACATTCAACTCCACTGTGTTAAACACTTTAAATAGTGGCTTTGTCTTATTTTATTTTACCTTTCAGTGACTAGTAATTATTTTGCAGGGTGATTGCTACAATTGCTAATACAGAGGTCCCTAGGAATATTTGAAATAATGTTCCAACAAAGCAGCAAATTATACCTTGATTAAAGTTTGTCAATAGGACCATATGCTCAGAGTTAAAATAAAGATTTGAGTTAACTATTTAGCCAAATCAGGCAACTAGTGGCTCCAAATTTTTTTCTTGGAATAGGTTATTCCTTTGAAAATTTGCTTGTTTCCTGTTAAAGAGGCTTTAGAAAGTGAGTTAGTTAGTTCATTGTGCCAACCTCGCTGATAAACGCATGTGGGATTAATTGAAGGGCAGAGGGATAAATGGCTCAGTAAGCCTCGCCTTTCTAGTTCTCTGGTCTCTTGCTTTGTGATGGTCACACCAGGGTGCAGCTGCTTAGCCAGTTCCCTGCTTCAGCTGGCAAGGCTGACTTCCTGCAAGACACCCCCAAGGAGAAGCCACATGGACCTACCCCGATGCAGCCCTGGGTGCTGGAGCCGGCCGCGTGGAGACCCCTGCCAGCACCGAAATGTTTACACACTCACTGATTTGGCTTTCCTCCTGCAGTCGGCATCATTGCATGTGTTTTGTGACATGGAGGAGGACTTTGTGGATTGGTATTGGACATATGGGTTAATGGGTTAATGTTGGACTTGTGGGCTTGGGCAGCACTGGGTTGGGATGTTTTCTTGATGCACACTTAACCTTTATATAAAACTCTCTCTTATACATGAGTCTCTTTGGATTTGTTTTCTCTAAAGTACCCAGACTAATACAGAAAGCTTCTTACCATGCCAAGGAACACTTGACATGAAATTATCACCTCCAGAATAATTCATTTTCCTCCACAAAACTCTTAATTGTATCTTTATTTCCAGTAATCACTTAGGTTAAATAGATGCTCAGAAACTGTGCATTGAAAGGCCAAAAATCACCTGCATCTCCACTTTCCTAGTAGCAATCCAGACTCCCCTATCTCCCTATATCTTTCTTATAGTTCTCAAGGTTTGGTAGCTAGGCCATTGCTCACTCTTCTCTGTCCTGCATCATCCACCCCAGATTTATCTCTGCATACTACCTTTTTGTCCTCTTCAATGTCACCCAGGGCCACTCTCTTCTACATCCCATGTCCTGGGCTGGTTCTGCACACCTTAGGTTCCTCCTGCAGCCAGCATCCTGAACATCTCTGTGACTCTCAGTCATTTCTCTGTCTACAGATGTTGCTGCTCTTCTGAGTCTCTAAAGGTAAAGACCCATTTCCTCTACTCTTTGCTGCCTGGAACAAGGCCTTGTAGAGACTATTAGAGGTGGTGGTAGCACCGGGAGGGAGTGAGTTGGGGGACTGTGGAGGTGAGGAAATGTCTACATGGTCAGGTAATCTGTCTGACACCCCAGTTGGTTTTTTTTCATTGCACCTTCAACTTCTTTTTGTTACATGAATGTTCAGGTTTTCTGCTAGATTAGGTAGGCAGTGTGTTTCTAGAAGTGTGCTCATTTCCTCTAGGTGTTCCAACTTGTTGCAGTATAGTATTTCAGAATATTCTCTTAAGATCCTCTTTATTTCACTTGACTCTGTTGAAATTTCATCCATTTCATTTTCCTCAAGAACAATCTTACTAAATCGATATTAAATTTATTTCCCTCTTTTTTTAATGGTCCCATATAATGAGTTATCTAAGCATTTGTAATAGCATTGATTGTGATCATCTCTTGTTTAAGAATCCTGCCTCAAACAGTAACTATATTTTATTCAAAAAGAGAACATTGAGAAAGATGTAGCAATGATTGAATAATATCCTAAGGGATAACTAAGGAGTTCTTATGGCACAATGGTTAAGCACTCAGCTGGTAGCCAAAGGATTAGTGGTTCGAACCCACCACTGATCTATGGAAGAAAAATGTGGCAATCAGCTTTCAGAGAGATTACAGCCTTGGAAAACCAATGGAGATATACAAATGAGTTTATTAAAATTGGGAAAATTCATGCAAACAAATCTCCTATTTTAAAGCATTTCATGACCTCGCCTTTGTTTTTGGCAGAACTCTCCTAAGATTAATAAAAGGTTAAAGGTGAGGATATTTTCTGAATATTTTTGGAAGTCTTGATGTTTTAGAGAATGATATGGGGGAAAGAAAGTGGTGTTAACAAACCCAGGGACAACGGAACACCAAGTGATCCAAAATCAGTGGCAAGGAGGATGTAAGAGGCCTGGTAGGTCTTGATCAAGGGCAATGTAATGGAAAAGAATTAGTGAAACCCAAATGAATGCTGGACATGATAGTGGGACAAGAAGAGAGAGTACAAGGAAATAGAGGAAGGAACTAGAAGGCAAAGGGTATTTATAGAGGTCTAAATGCAGGCATGTACATATGTAAATATATTTATGTATGACGATGGGGAAATAGATCTATGTGCATATATTTATAGGTTTAGTGTTAAGGTAGCAGATGTACATTGGGCATCAAGTACTCCCTCAATGCAAGAACACTTTGTTCTATTAAACTGGCATTCCATGATGCTCACCTTCCCAACACAATCGCTGAAGACAAAAGCGGGTGCATAAGCAAATGTGGTGAAGAAAGCTGATGGAGCCTGGCTATCAAAAGATATAGCATCTGGGGTCTTAAAACTTGAAGGTAAACAAGTGGTCATCTAGCTCAGAAGTAACAAAGCCCACATGGAAGAAGCACATCAGTCTGTGTGATCATGAGGTGTTGAAGGGATCAAGATCAGTCATCAAAGAACAAAAAATCATATCAGTGTGAATGAGGGTGAGTGCGGAGTGGGGACCCAAAGCCCATCTGTAGGCAACTGGACATGCCCTTACCAAAGGGTCTTGGGGAGGAGACAAGTCAGTCAGGGTGCAGTGTAGCAACGATGAAACATACAACTTGCCTCTAGCTCTTAAATGCT